GAGTACTTTCTTCGGTTGGTGCGACGGGCTCGCGGTTTAGAGCCTCCAACCGGATGGGCTAGAAGAGTGTTCACGGGAAGGAACTCTAGTCCGCCTCTTATCTTTTCTATCTGCAACTGTAGCTCAAGCAAGTTTTCCTGCCTGCACCGCGACCATCTTTGGTGTAAGTAAACAATCTTTAAATCAACCAGTACGCCTCTGTGACTAATTCTAGCCCGTGCGTGCCTTGCCGCTGCACAGTCTCCTCTGACCCCGCGTGCCCGGGCTGCTGGCCACAGCCCGCATGCGCAAAGATGGGTCCGCATATTGCTCCCGGCTCACACATGGCGATGAGGATGGGATCGGGAGGCGGCCCGCACACTAATTAGCACGCATCAGAGCAGATGTTCGTCCTGTGTATAGGTGCCCTAGGACAACAGCATGAAGGCTTGAGAGCAAGTTTCAATCATCTGTTCTGCCTGGACCAGAGCAGTTTCTCATTCCTGATTGTTTCAAATCAGGCTTGAACCTGAATCATCCTTGCTGGATCCCAACACCTTGCTCATCATATAACCTATCAGTCTTATGTTCCTCTGTTTCCCTCTTTTCCTTCCCTCCTCCCAAAAAGCATAATCCTCCTGACTAGCTCTAGCTACAGCTCTATTTTATAGCATACATCTTGTTTCACTCCCTTTGGCAGGAGGACATTCTTAAAGAGATGATTTTTTTTTTTTTTACCCTTCAAAGTACTTTGAGAAGTTTGAAATAAGCTGGATATAGAAATATGCATTTTCTATAGCTTTGCAAAATTAATGGAAGCACACTATTGGGGCATAGATCTTTGATGCTTACAGGTGTTTGTCAAAGCAGAGTGATAAGCGAGACGTTTTAAATATTGATCTGCTAATTGCAGAGCCAGCAATCTCTACAGTTTGCAGATGTTGAGATTCTCTGCTGTCGGTGGAAAATGGCAGACTGTGTAGTAAGTTAGTGAAATGCAAACAGGTGCTTTTCATGTGCAAAAAGGGTCTGTTTCTTGAAATTCCACAATTAAAAGAAAATTCTGGTTTTAGTTTATGACTAGAACTGATCTTATTTTTGCTATAATGGGCAATATTTTGGCAGCTGAAAGTTTGTAGCATTGAAGTGATTCATCTCTGTATTAGCATAAAATTTTGACTTTTTGGGATAGATTCAAAGGGGACATAGGTGCCTTTCACAAAATCATGGAGGAGATGACAAACTCACTGCAGCCTGGTTCAAAACCTATAAATTTTGTTGCCAATGTAAACATCCTAATATTCCAACTTTTAGGCCATTGTCTTGCTGTGCACACTCTCTCCCTGTCATTCAATATTTAATTATTTATTCACAGTGGAATAGCTTCAACAGGATATACTGAATGAAAGCTACCACTAGAATACCTTTGGATGTCTTTACACATGCTCTGCAGTGGGCATAGAGGGGGCATTTTAAATAGAGCAGGAGCTGCTCTAATTAAAACACCCACAGTGTCTCATGGATTCAGTATCCTGTACTTCAAAATGGCAGTGGGGATGCTTTAACTAAAGCTACTTCAACAATCTTTATTCAAAGTACCCCCTCTGCCATTTTCAAATGTGGGGATGCAGAATACATGCGACACTGAGGTGGCTGGAGCATTCTAATTGATAGAACTCTATTAATGAGTCTGCTCCAACTCCTTCTAATTGGCACATGTTTCCCCAACAAATATAAGATGTGTCACTATAATTTTTGTTGATAAACAGAGATCCTAGTTTTCTGTGATAAATCCACAAATTCTCTGGTAAAAAATTGAAAATTCACTGATAAAAACCCCAAAAGCTGTGATTAAACTGAAAGGCCCCTCACTCCCCACCCCCTTCCCCACAACCCCCCTGGTCCTGCTCATGCTGCTCACTCCCTGGCCTACAGCCCCTGGACTTGCTCATGCTTCTCCCTCCCCCCCCCCGGCCCCCCCCACCCTGAGGGGGGCTCC